TAGGAACTATATATTTTAACTGAAGGGTTATTGTATAAACATAATAACTATATTAATATTTATTACCTTTTTATAAACTTCTTTCACTGGAAGATCCAAACTCATGATTTTGTTGTTGACCAGTAATTCCATACCATTGTCATCTTCTAATAATGCTACTAATTCACAATCTTGACAAATTTTATTTTTAACATCTCTCATTAATGGTCCAAGACCAGGTTCATTACTGGAATATGGATTACCCAACATGCGACCCTAAAAAATATTGTAATTACATATGTATATCAAATGTCATATCAGCACAATTGGTATTGTTAAGCTGCAAAAATTTTGCTTTGGATCTAATACTAATAAGAAGTGATTAATTTGAAATCTGAGACAAATATTAAGTAGTTTGTGAAGCTAACAAACAAGACAAAGAATCAGATATAGGTGTTTCCCATAATAATGTCAAACGAATCTAAGATGTATTCTAAATGTTATATTCTAGTATAGGTTTGTTAGAATGATCTAATTCTAGAGAAAATTAACAGTATCAGTCTATTATGAGCCTGGAATAGCGTATAGTAAATATATACTGTACTTAAGATATATTTAAAGTTTTATTTAGAGCAGGGTTGAGTCATTATTGTTAACAGACATTTTGCAGAATTTGGTTTTATACAATCACAAAATTTACAATTAACAAGAAGTATCAAATTGAATCTATGCTATCTTTATGTTTTATTAATTTGATAACACACAGTTAACTCATTTCATGCTTGTCTAACAGTCATAAAAAACAAGGAATCTTAAATGACTGTATATGTACAATGAATTGTTTTCAACCACTTCACTCCGGACACCCATTTAAGGTAAATATTAAATTGAATCATTTATATATTTAATAATTGAACCAATAAATCAATTCATTTTATCAATTTATTTTAAATTCAAATATATTATATGTAATCAATTTACCTGTAAAAAGTCTTCTTGTTGAGGATCCTTCTCAAGAGATAAGAAAAATTCCCCAATATCATTTTCTTCTGGATAAATAATTGAGCAAAGTCTTTCAAATATAAATACAGGAGTTCGAACATCCATCAATGGATATTTATTTACTGTTTCCATGCACACAGACATAAAGGATTTTGTTTCAGCTTCGGTTCCAGTGGTCATTTCTTCTAACATCTCTAATAATTGTTCTTGGGTATCATCAATCAACCTGGTTCTTTGTACTACTAAACTTTTTAATGAAAGATATCCACCTAAAACTGCTCCGACAAGCCTACCTTTATAAGCTTGTCGTATAGAAGTATCCTCAAGAAAAGATGATAATAACTCGGTGATTTGTTTCAAAGCGTAACCTAATATATATAAAAAAAAGCATTACTTGAAATTCACTAAATCATTTGCAAGATATACTAAAACATTGTCTAGAAATTGCAACTGGTTGTTAATAAATATATAGCAAATGGTAATGGTAGCTAAATTATAAACACCATAAAAAAGAAAGGAAGTCTTCCTGAAAGTAGCAAGTTTTGAATACAACAAAATTTTCACCTATATATGACTAACAACCACAATCATGGTTAACTAATACCAATGATTGTTCAAAAATAAAAATATTTGATTATAGTTATTAATAACTTGCCTTGTGCAATATCTGCAGTTAAAGTTGTTTCCTCAAGATGGTGTATATCTTGTATTTCTTTTGTTAATAAATCAGCCAAATGCATTAATACACCTTTTAAAGCAAGAAATTGTTTCCACGGTGCCTCATCCATTAATGACTTGTATAATGCTGTAAGCAGAAAAAAGGAACCTGACAACCAATTTCGCAAAATAAGAATTCATTAAAAGATTAAATTAACAACTCAATTTCTTCATAAGTTCAAAAAAAAAAAATAAATGTGATTTTAATCCGAGAAAACCAAGATTTGTTTTCAAACAACACTATAAATTCATGTATGTATGTATATATCAATATTCATATATTATAATTACATAAAGAATAAACAAACCTAAAAATTCATCACTGCTTTTACCGGATCTTCCAATTTCCTGAAGATAGCCTGTTAGAAGACATAACATTTCTCTATGTCTCTCATGTGTTTGACTTAACGATTGAACAATTGTACAGGCAACCTGCCTTGCCAAACGAGAGCGTGGACTAAACAACACTTGCTTCAACCAAGTTCCATCTAAATTAAGTGCTCTTAATCCATGCATTCTTTGAATCTACATATACATTAAAAAAATATTAAATCATTTGAAATATGAACATAGACAATTATTTTCACTAACAACTATCTTTGCTGAATGGATGGATGTAACACTAACCTTATGTCTCCATCTATAAGCATATTTTTCCAAAGGTATCTCTCTTTTGTTTGCTTTTTTAAAGCATTTTTATCAACTGGAACATCATCTTGATCTTTGGTATCGGTTACAGATGTTTCATTAAGATTTTGTTTATCACTTGCAGTTTCCACTTGTGATCTTTTAGGCATTTTCTGCTTCCAGCTTAAGAATGATTCATTGTTGTCACTATTTAACCACTTGTCTAAGTTGATTGTGATTCCCTCAGGTGGGCAGATGCTGGACAAGCTGCTCAGTGTTTTATTCTGCAATAAAAGTCATAATATATATATATATATATATAATATATATATATATATATATATATATTAGGTTGTCAAATATCTCCCTTCCGCTTTTTTGCTCTTGGTTTATAATACAAAAAGGCGGAAGGGAGATATTTGACAACCTATTATATATACATATATATATATATATATATATATATATATATATATACATATATATGAGTGAGTTCTTGAGGGCGATACATCAAACAAAGAAAAGCCAAAGATTTATAAAATAATCTTTATTTCCAAACGTTTCGACATTCAATTTAATGTCATCATCAGTGGATATTACGTTGGTTAGTTACATATAGAGAAGTGTACACAGCACTAGAGATTTGGCACTAACATTTATACAACTAACTTGTCAGCACTATGCATTTTTTATATAATTTTTTTGTATGATGTAAACAGAAAAATGATAGTTTTATTGAACAAAAATGTAAGTAGAATTATGTAATTGTATTTATAAATCTTTGGCTTTTCTTTGTTTGATGTATCGCCCTCAAGAACTCACTCATATATTTCAACATCAAAATTAACTACTAAATCATAGTATATATATATATATGATATATATATATATATATATATAATATATATATAAAAAATAAAATTTTATATTCATATTTTCCCTCACTGACACAATGATTACTAGAACACAAAATAAATGTTTTCTGAATGACATTTAATTTTCAAGCAAAATATCCCAAAAAATAAAATTTAATTAATTGGCAGAAAGTTGTGATATGACATTAATTTTACATTTCTAACCTTATTCAGTTGACTAGTAGGTTGAGCTGGTGACACCACAGACTGTAATATTCTTAGACAAGGCAAAACGATTGCTTCCATTACTGCTGGGCTACGAGTTTCACTACAATAATATTAACAATGGTTATAGTAATTTACTAAGTTATATAAAAAATTAAACTTACTTGCATCCCAAAATAAATAATTTCATCACAGTTCTCAATTTCATTTCCCAGCAGTTGTCTTCTTGAGCTACCAATTCAGCTAATAATGCCATTTCATGACGAACCTTCAGTGAGAAAAATACAATTCAATAATTATGTTATAACGTAACTTTTAAAATGCAATAAAATTCATTACCCTGTAAAATAATTATTTACAGGTGTATAAAAAAGAAGAAAAAAAAGATCACAAAATATCAGTTCAAACAGAATTAAGTAACCAAGTATGAATAGTGAAAAGAATTATTACCCCCGGATAAAAATCACAAAAAGTAACTTGAGCTTTCAATGCTAAAGTTATTCTATCGACTAGAAGAGTGCAAAGTAATTCAGTATCTTGAGTACAGTCTTTTGTTAAAAGGCACAATAATTGACGAACTTCTTCTTGAATCTGAAATGATTGTCAAATAAAACAATTATTCAAGATGATGAAAATTATATAAATTTAATAAATCTTAAAAATGATATAATGAATAATTTATTAGAATTATAGAACTAAAAAATATTACAAAAGATAGCAATTGAACACTCACCTGGTGTGTACCACCACGTAAATTATGATTTACTAATTCTTGCAGAACCCCTTGTTTATGTATTAAATACCACCTACAAGGTGCAAATGTTGCCATCACACGTAATAAAGTTAAACAATGTTCTGTAGCTGCCAAGCACATCCATAGCATCTATTTTTAGTAGTTGCACCTGAAAAGATTAACAATGAAGTATGTAAGATATAATGTTTCAGTACTTAAACAAAAATTATCTTACTTTTACACATGTCTGAGTTCATTACTACTACAAAGTCCATCTGCTTTTTATCATATGCTATTAGCTCTTTTCTGCTAGCTTCTACTTTTTGTAATATTTTACTCAAATCTTCAAAAAAGTTTTTACTTTCAACACAGTATTTTTGGGCTATAAGTTGCACAACTTTATTGACTTGAGATGTTGAATTTACGACAAAACCACCCATTGTATCATCAACATTAAAATCAGAACGATGCTCAGATACTTTCTTTACTAAAAGCTGTAAAAAATATATTGTTAATGTTTATAATATATAGTAAACTGTGATATAGATATTTTAAAATTTTAATATATTAATACATAAGTGCATTAAGCGCATTTACTGAAAAGCAACTTTGAATTTTTCAACAATAATATATTCAATCGTTAAATCAGAACTAAAATAAAGCTTAATGGTTTCACCTCTAATACTGGTTTATTATTGATGAGTTGTTGATACACTCTGTCAGCTTTCTCTAGCAAGTTATTGATGTTTTTGAACAGTTTTCGGCGATCATCATCATTTTCAATTGTGTCTACAGCACAACAAGGTCGAGCAAATAGAGAATAGTCAAATTTGGCATATTTGCAAAAACCGCAAGCATGGCATAAAAATGGATCCTTCTCATCATAATTTATAGCACTAAAAAGATATTTTTCATAAATTTAATATTACTAAAATATATATATATATATATATATATAGCATGAAAAGATTTTTTTATAAACTTAATTAAAAAGAATAATGCAGAACAAAAAGAGCAGCTAATAAAGCCCTAGCACCCAAAAAAATTATTTGACTCATATAACTATAAAGAATTATGAAGAATATTTCTAATAATAAGATGATATTGAAAATAACAAACCGGCATTTGTGGCATTGGAAAACATTTTCCCCACAATTTCCACATACACCTGGATGAGCAGGAACAGCTGCACTACATCTAGGGCATTGCAAAGATTCACTTGTACCCTATAAAATATTATTTGATTAAAATCAATTGTCTATGAAAAAAAGTTCAAAACCTAAGTTAAAAAAAAAACATCACACCTGAACAGTCTCATATAAAAATCTGCATACTCGATCATCAAATTGCAAGCAGTTATGGGAAGGGGAAAATCTATTTTTACATCAGTTTGACCAGATGATAATGTTACCTTTTTAGCTTTATGCCAAAGGGCTGTAAAACAAATGAAATAATAAATAAATATTCAAAATGTTTAAATTATTATAGTAGAGTTTATTTGCCTGGTTTATTTTTTAATTCCACAACAGCTTGGACAGTTCGGTCATTATAATAAATGTTTATAACTCTAACCATTTTGTTTCTTTTCAAATCTGCTATTCTCAATGTTATTTTACTTATTGTATGACTGTTAACCAATTTTACTATAGTTGTTGTTGTGGTAAACTTGGAATCAACCTACAATCAAAATAAAATAAATGATTTTAAATTTTAATGAGCATTTAGTATCTATAAATATTTAATGATTTTAGGTTTTATAACTAAGGCTAAGGTTTTATTAACTTCCCGAAGGAGATCTCCGACTTCGAAGTTTATGTTTTCGTCAAAAAATCCGATTCGCTAATTTTATGTTTTCTCAACGTTTCAATTTCATTTCGATTCAGAATGGCTTGAAACGTCGAGAAAATTAACAAATAGGATTTTTTGATAAAAAAAACTTCTCCTTGGGGAAGTTAAATATTACGGGCATGGCCCGCGTACGAATCGATAATCGGGCCAGAAGCAAATATTACGCATCACGGGCATGGCCCGGTACGGTAATCGCAAGTATTACAAAATATTTATTTATACGAAACTATAAACAAAAAAATTTTTATTTTTATAATAAACTGTACACTGTGTGGGAAATTAGTCACGAATTAAATTCGTAAGTTAATGCAGCGGTTTCTAACATGTGGGGCGCGCCCCCTCCTCAAGGGGGGGGGGCACACATCTGCTTCCAGAATACTATCATCGAAAATAA